CAAGTTCCGGAAAGCTATGTCAGAGTCAGAGACTACTGGGCCCTGGACAAAGGCGAAAAGACAAGGCAGGCTTCCTGCCTTGCTCTTATCTGAGGGCGCAGAGGGTCGGAGGCAGAACCCCTGGGGTGCAGGTGAGGCACTTCAAGTGGCAGCCAACCAGGGTCTCCACCTCACTTCTTCTTCCTCTGTTATCAACCCCCTCCTCCCAGCACTTAGGCCCCTTCCTATTCCTCCTTAGGCCCCTCCCTGGGCCAGCCCCCTATCTCCCACCCAGTTTGAGATTGCATAAGTAATCCCAAACCCGGGTTTGCAGCAGTGTAAAACAGAAAGCAGAGAAGGTAGATGCTGCCAGGGCGATCGCAATCTCTTCCTCTTCCAAACTGCAGCTTGGGACTCTGATTCTAAAGGCTCCTTACCGCGCAGCCTGAAGCTTCACCATGGTGAAAATCGCCTTCAACACCCCCACCGCCTTGCAAAAGGAGGAGGCACGACAAGACGTGGAAGCCCTTGTGAGCCGCACTGTCCGAGCTCAGATCCTGACCAGCAAGGTAGTGGTCCCCACTCCTCCCCTGGCTGCTTAACAGGGCGGGGGTTGTGCGAGACAGGTGGCAAAGAACAAAATGGAGATTTTCTGCAGGCTTCGGTCCCCTAGCAAGCTGCTCTGCACTTCTACTCTGTTGAGTTTCCCCAGTAGCTCATGTTCTGCCTAGTGGTGCCACCCTTTAGTCCTTCTCGCCTAGCGCTCCTCTGCATCCCTGCGCGATACACCATGATCTGTCTGCTCTAATCTAAGCAGCCTATTAACTGTGGGAAGTTGGAGGGAGTTTGAGGAAAACTCCAGGGACCTGATGTCATCTTCTCTTGTGGGACGCCTTAGGGACTAGATACTAACAAAGGGTATGCTGCCCTGTTCCCAGCTCCAGCGGCGTGCACAGCCTCAATAGGAACCGAGCTGACGCGAGGGGTGAGCAAGGGCAGGCGATTTAACTATTTTTTCTTTCATTTTGACTTGGATGAAATTGTATGACTTTCTTTCTAGGATCTAAGAGTGTTTTCGGGAGCTAGGGATGGAATGGAGGAGGGGAGGCAGTTTTGACTAGAAGCTATTTGGGTTGGCAAGTGTGTGCGAGTGTATTTCAATTTCTCCCTGGTCAAAGGCTGCCTTAAGCATTCCTTAAAGGAGCTGTCAACATGAGACTGGTTAGTTGAATTTGGGGTATTTACTGTGCCCCCGTACTACAAGAGCCTTGTTTTCAGAGTAGCATTTCCTAAAGAAAACACTCTTCTTCGGTAAAAAGAAACTCCGTGATTTTTTTGTCTCTATTTTTTAAACTTTATTTTTAAAATTATTTCTGTTCGAGCAATATTCCCCATGCACTCCCCACAGAAAGATGTGAAGTAGGCCCAACTTTGTAGTTTAAACCACTAAGTTTTCCAGAAATTGGGGGAGTTTTCCCCAAAACAAGTTAGCCATTATTTATTTAGTCCAATTTGTCTTTTCTTTAAACATCTGCCATATGTTCAATGTTTGTAAACTACTTCTTATTTTCCTCTGTAAAATCTCAAAGCGCAATTATAGTTTGTTCATGTTCTTCAAAATCTGTGAAGTGTTAGAGTTACAAATCTGTGCAAGCTTTTTTTTTTTTCTCCCTATAAAGTTTTAATTGTTGTGTTCAGTAGTAGAGATTTAGAAAGCACTTTGAGTAAAATAAGAGTCCTTGTATAAAACTGATTGTGCATACAATTTGAAATGCTAACGTGCTAATGTATAACTTTGGGAACAGCAATAAAACTAGCTCTTGTGTATTATACATTTCAAAACTCAAAAGTAACACCCCCTTGCATTGTTGAGGTTTTAATTAAATGATAGGTCATAGGTGTAATTGTCCTCCTACTTAGTTTGTAAGTGAAATATGGCCAGATATTTTGGGAGGTCTGACGGCACATAACAACAACAACAACAACAATTAGATGCTAGTAGTTAAATATGGGAGCTCTGGTAGCGTAGTGCCTAAGGCACTGGACTGCTAACCAGAGGGCTGGCGGTTCAAACCCCCCAGTAACTCCTTGGAAGAAAGATGGGGCAATCTACTTCTGTAGTGATACTGCCTCGGAAACCCAAGGAAAGGTCGCTATGAGTCAGTTTGACTCCACGGCACATAACAACAACAACAGTTAAATATACCCATAAAGTAATCCTTGCTTTTTCTCTTACCACGAAGAACTTCATGACTTGTGTTTGGATTAAGTTAATATGCAAACAGTACTTCTACCAGGCATGTGGTGTGATGACCAATAAACAAAAATGACATTTACACTCTTGATACATTATATCATGATGTATTGATCTGTACATCAGAAATTGAGTACAACAGATTAAAAGTCATAGGTTGTGTACAATGACTTTAAAATATAGTTCAGAGGGACATTAGCTATGACTGGTCCTCCGCCACCCTGAATTCCAGCAAATTTAAATGCAAACAAAAATTCTTGCTTCTAGCATGTAGGTATGTGTTCTGAAAGTAAGACTCTAATACTTAGACAAGAGCTCTGGTAGTGTAGTGCCTAAGGCACTTGACTGCTAACCAGAAGGCTGGCTGTTCAAACCCACCAGCCACTCCTTGGAAGGAAAATGGGACAATCTACTTCCGTAGTGATATTGCCTTGGAAACCCAAGGAGGGGTCGCTATGAGTCGGTCCGACTCGATGGCACACAACAACAACAACAATATTTAGACATGTCTTAGTGACAAACTCGCTAAATTATTGGAAGGAGCGATGAAATCACAGTGCAGATTGTTCTTATGCCTCAGTGACATGAAAAAAATAGAAACCAATTCTTCTAAAAATATCAAATTAAGTCATGTGACTTATAGGCAAATCTCTTCATATTTCTGGGCATCAGTTCAATCATCTAAAATATAATTTCTAAGCCTCCAGCTCTACAGCACAGTGATTCCCAAACATAATTCATAGCTATGTCTTCATACTGTTAATCTTAGATAATATTTTTGTGTAAAATAATTAATTTTTTTTTAAATTATTTAAATAAAGAAAAGACTTCAAATTTTATGGAGTATTGGTGGAGGGTTTGAGTAAGTTCAATAATTTTTAACTATATGAATCCCAAATTTCTTTGAACTTTAAAGAAAAACCTTTTTCTGAAAAATCATATATCAAATGCTTGCCTGCCATTTCTTCTGCTGCATTGACTTCAAATCATTCATTTATTTTCAGCAAATTACTTTGCTTGGTTAGAGAGCATAAACATTATAGTAGCTCTTATAGAAAAGAGTTAATGGTCAATTTACATACCAGTGTTAATGATTTACCCTCTGATTACAAGGACCCAAATTTGCTGATTTAATTTGTTCTATCCTTGAATAATAAATAGTGCAGTTTAGGGCATATTTTTACCCAAGAATAGGATTGGAGAGGATGTAGAGTTAATCAGTTACTTGTTTGTTCTGGATATTTCTTCTTCAAATTCTTAAGCAAATTATTAACAGAAATTTACAGTAATCATTCGTTACACAGATAATTTGTCTTCATTATAAACTAAACCAAACCTACCGTCATTGAGTTGATTCCAACTCATAGTGACCACCATTGGGTTTCCGAGGCAGTAAATCTATACAGAATTAGATTACCTGGTCTTCCTTCCATGGAGTGGCTGGTGGGTTTGAACCACCAATCTTCTGGTTAGCAGTCAAATGCCTTAGGCACTCTTCAACCTTAAAAATCTAGTGTTCTGCCCAAAATTTAAAAAGCGTCATTTCACACATGCAATGCACAGCTATGGAACATTGAGTGGCATTAGGAAGCCTCAGAGTCCTTGGATGTCACAAATAGTTAAGCATTCAATTGCTAGTTTAAGAGGTTGACAGTTTAAACCACTCAGAGGTGCCTCAAAAGACTGGCCTGGTAATCTGTTTCCAAAAGGTCACAACCTTGAGACCCCTATGGAGTAGTTCTACTGCGCACACATGGGGTCCATGAGTAGTAATCAACTCAAGGGCAACTAATAACAGGAAGTCTCATATTTTTCATTAAAACTAGAAGCATTAGGAAATATATTTCTTGCCTTCAATATTTTTATTTCTAAAATAGGAGGAAATGACATATGCCTGCTCTTATAGGACTTCTTTCTTTAAAACCTAATTTTCAGAAAACAGTCTTTTGAAATTTGTTTACTAAATCAAAGGATACTAATTTTTCTTTAAAATAGCAAACAAGATGATTTACAAAAAATTTACAAATTGTAAAGAAACAAATAGTTATGCCTCCAAGAATCTGGTGGAGCTCTTTGGAAAACGGACTGTGCGTACTTTGCAGAAAGTTAATGATTATATCATTTTACAAGCCCCAAAATTTACTGTTTCCATGTCTTTAAACTGTGCAACTTATTGTATGAATGAATAGTTATTTTCATTTGATTCCTGAAATGTGTATCTTGAAATAATTTCATATGTATATTTGAGTTTGGAAATGCCAGAAGGAATGTTAATCTAATTGGAGATTTTCACATCTACAGACATCAGAATCTTGCAATGATTTTTAAGAACAGAATGATTTAACATCATTTAAAAATATCTTGGGTTTCAAGGGAGATATTTTGTACACAAAAGCAACTATATGACTAAAAGTGCGATCTGGTTTTGCTTTTAAATAAATAGGAGCTCCGAGTTGCCACCAAGGACAAAGAGAGCTCTGGGAGATGCATGCTTACTCTCTTAGGCCTTTCATTCATCTTGTCAGGACTTATTGTTGGTGGAGCCTGCATTTACAAGTACTTCATGCCCAAGGTAATAATAATTATAATTCTTAACATTTTGATTACTAATTGCTATATATATAGTAGCAACTAAAATAATTTGGTGGTGGATATCACAGAAATAAAGATTTAGGCAAAATTTTCAAGTTACCTTTTAGTTCATGAAATTGATTTGTCTTTATGGTGCTAAATGTAATCAACAAGCTGGGCAAAGAGTACATGAGTTTGTATAAATGTGAGAAGCCATTCAGATGTCGTGGTACTGAGTATTGGAAGGTTTTTATATTTCCCTTTTTGTCTTTTAGAGTACCATCTATCGTGGAGAGATGTGCTTCTTTGATTCTGAGGACCCTGGAAATGCCCTTCCTGGAGGAGAGCCTTACTTCCTGCCTGTAACTGAGGAAGCTGACATTCGTGAGGATGACAACATAGCAATCATTGATGTACCTGTTCCCAGTTTCTCTGATAGTGATCCTGCAGCAATTATTCATGACTTTGAAAAGGTGAGTTTCTCATTCTTTTTTTTTAAATGAATTCATTTTATTGCAAACAAACGTCTAAATTGATTTCTCCACTCACTTTCTTTAGAAAGAAAAAGAAATCAGCAGGCTAAGGAGATACCCATTCAAGAACTGACATGATTAAAAATTAAGATATAAATGGGTGACTCACAATTTCAAGTTTCTCATTCTTATAAGTATTCCAGAATTTTCTCTTTTTCCTAGTTCATTGACAGGTAGTAAGTGGCTGCATAAATGTACAACTTTTGATAAGTGATATTTTGTTGTTATTAAGTATACATTAGTTGATTTTGAAGGTTATAGCTGCTGCTTTCTTGTGTTAATGGCAGTTTGAAAATCCATAATGTTAATACCATTTATATCACACCTAATATTTTTCCCTCCCCAATAGGGTATGACTGCTTACCTGGACTTGCTGCGGGGTAACTGCTATCTGATGCCTCTTAATACCTCCATTGTTATGCCTCCAAAATATCTGGTGGAGCTCTTTGGAAAACTGGCAGTATGTACTTTACAGCTTAAACTTTGCTTTAAGCATTTCTAAATGATTTTGCTTTTTCATTTTAAATAATAGTGATTTGGGCCAAAATATTCCATTTAATTGAAAT